ATGGTGTAAAAAAGAGATGTTAGCCTACCAAAATAAAATTTGTAAAACATGCACTATTAGGTACCTATTGCACACATGCTCATGGCAAATCTGGGCGATAAGATCATCTACTGACTAACTATAATGTTCTAACATGCGATTAAATTTCGTATAGCAAGACTTTTTTTTGTCGAGTAAGAGACTCTGCTTTGGCCTCATGTGGAGTGCGCCCTTGCATGTAAAGCTGGAGGGCAGCAAGTTCCTCCATGTAAAAGCGGTGATGTAACTCTTCATGGTAACATCATGCATAGAAGATGGGGCAATTTTTACCTTGCAACATTTCATTGGACCCCTACCTACTTCATTCAATGCACCAAAGAGTATAATACACTCCCCACTTCTTTGCATGCCCCACACGATATGCATGCATGGAAGAGCAACAGGACCACCGACCTCATTCATCGCACACACACGCATGCATGGGAGGACACAATATATGGCTCCTGCAAAATCTATCCAAGTTTGCCTCTCTGTTCGTTTACCTATCTTCTGTTCATTTACTCATTGGTACATGAGGGTAATTCAGGTGGACAATGAAATTTTTTACTAAAGGCCTCACTCAAATGGACGATCGTGGCAAATATGTACCGTGCCTTTTGTTCTTTGAAATTTAACCGCTATAAACTACCATGCCTTTTGCTATTAAAAAATAAACGATGTAAATTAAGCTCATGAACAGTTTTAGCAGTCCTCTCTCTCTAATTTACTCTGGCTTCTAACCTGTGCAGGAAGCAAAAGCAGATCACCGCGCTCTGAGCAAGGAGATGGATGATGGAGAGGATACATCTGCTCGCATGATCCATGCTTGGAATAACGCATGCATTGTAAATTTCTCTTGTGGTAGTAACTTTCCTATGCATGTAAGGACATACAATTTTATCTTAACTCTTTTACTTACCCACTTTATTCAATGCACCAACTTTGTGATTTGGATGACCGTCAATCTGAGCAAGGAGATGGATGATGGAGGGTCATCTGCTTTGGCACGATCCATGCTTGGAATAACGCATGCATTGTAAATTTCTCCTGTGGCAGTAACTTTCCTATGCATGTAAGGACATGCAATTTTTATCCCAACTCTTTTACTTACCCACCAAACTGTGAGCTAGATGACCGTCAATTTCCTATCGAACGTTCCACTCAAATGGACGTTACGTGGACACCTTGGGAGGCCGCCTAGACGGCGCGGCCTCATATTTCTAATACCATCAGCAGCTAGTAGCTCACGACTCTGAGTCTGTGTGTGCAACTCGTCTCGAGCCTGTCCGCCCGGAGCCCCCGTCTCGCCGTTCTCCACCTCCGAAGGTACCTGGTACTCCTTCCTGCCCCGCGCATCGCATCCGCGCTTTATTTTGGCGGCCTCGGTTCCGGTTGATTCCTCTTTTACCCTCTGCGGGCGTCCGTCGTTTCGTTTCATCCACTCGCCGAACCGATTTGTTTCGTTTTGTTGTTCGATCCGCAGATCCTGTTGCGAGTTCAGCCCGAGAGTGACCATGTCGTCGTACTCGTCGCCGCCCCCGCCGCCGCCGGACCAGTCCCTGGACACGGAGGCACCCAACGCGCCCGTCACCCGGGAGCGGAGGCTCAACCCCGATCTGCAGGAGCAGCTCCCAAAGCCATGTACGCACCTCGATCTCTGCTTCCTCCACTTTTCTGTTGCCTGTCAGCCTGTACGATTGCCTGTCAGCCTGTATGATGGTCGTTGTGGTTATGGGTTTGTTCGGTTCGTGATCACCCCGTGAATTTTGGTTCATGATCATGATGATCGTTGTGGCTACGGGCCTGTTTCGTTCGTGATCACACCGTGAATTTTGGTTCATGATCGTTGTGGCAAACTATGACACCGACTAACAGCCACTACAACTCTACAGCAAAATACGCATGGAGACAGCGCTACCTGTTTCCTTGTTTGAGAGAGTCGTAATCCAGCTATAGTGCATTGATTCCGTTTTCTTTTTGTCCCTCTCTCCCGGTTCGCAGATCTCGCGAGAGCTCTCGAAGCGGTGGACCCAAGCCACCCGCAGGGGACCAAGGGGCGCGACCCCCGCGGCATGAGCGTGCTTCAGCAGCACGCCGCCTTCTTCGACCGCAACGGCGACGGCGTCATCTACCCATGGGAGACGTTTCAAGGTACGTGGCACGGTTGGTTGATCAGTCATCACTGGGATGGCAGTGCTAGCTGATGAGAGAAGGCTGTGTGACTGATTCAGCAGTAGTAGCACCGATGATGTTTGTGTTGTCAGTGTCTGTCTGACTTTTGCTCGATGGGCTTAGGATTTTCTGTCTGTGTCTGTCTACTACTTTCAAAAGGATTTGAATTTTCAGACAGACACTGACAGAATTCAAATCCTAAACCCTACTGCTGCTGAATCGGTACTTTTTTTTTGGCCCATCGAGCAGTAGTCACTACTACTTTCAGCACTGCTGCTGAATCGGTACTGATTCAGCTGCTTAGGATTTGAATTTTCTGTCGTGTCTGTCTACTTTCAGGCCTGCGAGCAATAGGATGTGGACTCCCGCTATCATTCATGGGCTCGATACTGATCAACCTCTTCCTCAGTTATCCCACTCAGCCGGTAACGTTCTCTCTCGGCCTCTTTCATGTACCTGCATGTTTCCTTTCTGAAATCTGCGGTACCTTTGCGTTACTGGGCAGCACCACCCCTCATGACATTCAGCTCTGGAAGAGTCTTGGCTGTCTCGCCACTTCCTTTTTTATTAGTATTTATTAAAGGAGAAAGACAAGTCTTGTCAATCTCTTTGCAAAAGAAAAGCTCTTGTAATCAGATGCTCTTTCTGAATTTAGGGATGGTTACCTTCTCCTTTGCTGTCCATCCATATAAAGAACATCCACAAGGGTAAGCACGGGAGTGATTCTGAAACTTATGACACCGAAGGGAGGTATGTATAGTACACTAGTACGCATAACACACTCATTACTGTCTCAGTCTATGACCAAAGGTTTAATGCCGATCCAGCCATAACTAGTCTGTACTTGCTTTAATTGTGCACAGGTTTGATCCATCAAAGTTCGATGCTATATTTAGCAAGTATGGTCGAACTCATCCTAATGCTTTGACAAGAGACGAGTTGGGCTCAATGCTTCAAGAAAACCATAATACGTATGATTTCCCTGGCTGGTAAGACATAGTTCAACTATCAATGTTTGCGTCTACCAGTTCTATTTTAAACCGTTCTCAGGTTAGCCCAATTTTCCTATTTTTGATAATTCATTTTTGCACAAGAAGTTGCTTTCAAATGTCCTGTTCTAATGCTTGTATTTTCCGAATGTCGTGTGATCTTGCCCTTCAGGATGGCGCTGCCGGTGAATGGTTCTTACTCTACAGCTTGGCAAAAGACAAGGATGGCCTCTTGCAGCGTGAAACTGTCCGTGGTCTATTTGATGGGAGCCTATTTGAGCGACTGCAAGACAATAACAACAAGAAGTCGTCCTGAATGCTGAGCATTGTACAGCTCAAAAAAGGGCTGGCAGTACAAAACTACCAGATTATACCAATGGTCGTGTTCAAATAACAGATGCTTCGGCTTTGTCCAACCGTCATTAACTTTGTGTGTTGAGATTTGTTTATATGTGTTTTTTTTATAATGGTTTATATGTGTGTTGTGCCACCAGTTTCTTCTCCTTTTGTCTCACACAGGTACTGAATTACGCCTGTGTTTTCTAGTGTTCACGTGGAAAAATGTGCGTTTAAAAGTGATGGGCAGAACTGTCATGTTGGTCTTGAAAGACGTCAATAGCCATTATTCACTGTGAACAAAGGCATTGTTTGGCAACATTTGCCAACAGTACCCCTTGTATACAAGAAAAAAGATGCTTGACGCACCATCCATTTTATGCAACCGTACTTACAACAAGGCAATACAAGGCATTTGATTGATAAGTGAACCACCACCTCAAGGGACTCAAATTATCTGTAAAATGGATGTATATTCTATCATGGCAATATCATGGCTGTAAAAATAAGGCTGTATAGTCTATCTAAAACGCTCGATTCCAATAAATAATAAGGCAACAAAAAAATGATTTCTGTTTATTTTATTTAAAACTGCATTTTTGTGTGTAGAATTTGAAACATTGCACATACTGTCTTTTCATTAGTTCATCTGGCTACCGGGCAACCAATTGGAAAATTAGTCTTGTAGCATTAAAAGATTGTATTACCATAGATGTACCATTAAAACATTTAACAACTGCTACATACCATTACAAGTTTACAATGGCATAGGCAATGGCGAAGCTAGAGAAAATTGAAGGAGGTACACTTGCCTTGTGAGTGTAAAGACTTGTGCCATGAAGAGTGCATATATGATGAAAAATTAGTTATTATAACTGATTTTTGAATTTTTGGGGTGCATGTGCACCCCAAGTCATACTATAACTTCGCTCCTAGGTATAGGTTTTACCATTCGGTATACTTTCAAACAATTACAAAGACCAAGACAACTTATAATATGATGAAGTAGATGTCAGTGTAATTGAGTTACTCGTTAGGTCGCTTCGATTAAGTTAGCTCAGGGTAGTCCATCTAAGCAATTAGTGGCGTAAAGTTGTTAGTTGTTCGGTCGGTGAATTGAAATTGTACAGGATGAATGATGCACTCGTAAATAATTTAAAACGAAGAGAGTATATGCTAGTGTAGTTGAGTTGCTTGTTGGGATTTTACCTAAGTAAACTCACGATAGTTCATCTAAGAACTAGTGGCGTGAAGTTGATAGTTGTCGGTCGATGAATCAAAATTGTGTAGGATGAGTGATGTACTCTTCCTAGTTTTTAAGACGGTGTGACTAAAAGGTTAGGCTGGTATTTATCTTTTTATTTTCTCTGTCTAATAAAAAAACACGGCAAAAAGGAAAAAGAAAGAGGAAAACATGTACTATCTGTACAGGAAGACGAAATGTTCCCCGCACGGGCGGCGGCGCGTTGGCCAACCTCCGGTTCCATGTCGGCCACCGCGCTCTTCCTGCCCGCAAACCCAAACTCCACGCCTAGTCCCGCTAGCACTCTCCGGCAACCTGCGCCGGCTTCCACCTCCGGAAAGCTCCACTTCCCGCTCCGCCTCCCCCGCCATGCCCGCTCTAGGACCTATCGCCCCGCCGCGTTCGGGAGGGGATCGCCTGTGGCCGGGCGTAAAGAGAAGGACCACTACGCCACGCTGAACATCCGCCGCGACGCCACGCTCCAGGAGATCAAGGCTGCCTACCGGATTCTCGCCCGCAAGGTGCTATTCGCTTTCCTTCCCTTCCTACCGCGTTTAGATTGGTGTTGCGTTGTATTAATTTCCCTACGGTTATTAATTTGAGCCATCTGCATATTTTCTAGATCCTAATGCTGGGAAGTAGTAGCATTTTTAAGGGTTTACAAAGCAAACTCCAAATTTGTCATTTTGTTCTTGGTGCTTCTCACTCATGCTGTGTTGGATCAGTTTTTGACATGTTTATAGTTATTAGTGCCAAAGCTACATACATTGAACATATTTCCCTGGTTTGCTTTCGGCTACAGTACCATCCTGATATGAATAAGAGTCCTGAAGCAGAAGAGAAGTTCAAGGAGATCAGTGCTGCATATGAGGTAATCTTCTGCCTTGTGGCTTCAGCTGAAGTGCTGAAGGAGAATAGCACTAGAACGTGCTTAGTATTAGATTAATTTATCTGTGATTTTGGTATTACTTAAATGATAGACATTAATCTACTCTATCAATGCAGACATGTCTTGTGTAAAATGTGATGTAAACCGAACTGGGCGACAATTCCTTAAAGTTTTTGCAAGACCTTTTACTTCAAAAATGATAGGCTCTCTACATGTCTCATGATCTCACCATGATTGTTGTGTACTTAATTCTGGTTTATGCCCTTTATCTGATAGAGTTTGAGTTGCATCTTAAAGGAAGGCAGTGAAACGTTACAAACCTGGTTTATCAACAATATCCTGGAATCGTAATGAAATTTACTTTGTATTTAACCAGTGTATTTAGAATGTGGTTAGTTCACTTGGCTGCTTCTACAGAATATATATGAGCAGAACACTTACAAATGTGATGATACTCCCTCCAGTCATTATTACTTTACATTTCTTACAGCAAAATACAACTAACTTCAGGACAACTTGGCTGCCTGAAATTTCAATTGATATTGACCGCAGGTAGTATTTGATGATGCTATCAGATGACCATCCTTTTATGTGATCTGTACTATTATCTTCTTCAGGTTCTATCTGATCAAGATAAAAGATCTTTATATGACCGCTTTGGAGAAGAGGGGCTCAGTGGTGATTACAGAGATGATATTGGCACACATAGGGGTACACAATTTATTTAGCACTAAGTCATTTTCCTTTTGACCAGTTTGATTCCTATATTGGGATATAAATTTATTTTCCTTTAGATGCTCTTTTTTTTCTCTAGCCAACATCCTCTTTGTTGGTAAAGTGCATTATGCCCACCAGTTAATGTAATAGCAGTAAGAACTGTTTAACTTGATGTTCTTATGGATGGACTTATAGACTGGCTTCTCACCTTACCTTAAGCGAATGTTTTGAACTCAGAAACTCTACTTCTACATCAGCCTGATTTCCATTGATTGAGAAAATGGAAAACTGCTAGTTAATAGAGAAGTCATAGTTTGAATTTTTTTTTTAAAAAAAAACTAGGCTCTAGGGCCTTTTAATATAGTTTGAAATTTTTGATTGACTTGACCTTTGTAATTTTTTTTTTGATTTTGCAGATTGATCCATATGAACTCTTCAATGCATTCTTTGGTGGTTCTGACAAGCTTTTTGGGGATAGTATGGGCTCTGGAGGATTTCATTGTAGTGCAGAAGCAAAGGGCAATAGGGCACTTAATATCAGGTAACAATTTCAACTTAGCACCATATCAGAATGTTAGATCTTGAATAGCTGTTTACAGCTTATTTTCTACTTTACAGCTATAATCTGCTCCTTTCTTTTGAAGAATCCATCCTCGGAGTCAAACGTGAAATCAATATTTTTCGTCATGAAACTTGTGGCACCTGCCATGGAACTGGAGCTAAATGTAGCAATGACATTACAGAATGCACCCGATGCAGAGGTCAAGGCAGGTTGATGAAAACTCAAAGGACACCTTTTGGTACAGTTTCTCAGGTGTAGTTATTTCTTCATGAAATATTGTTTGTCAGTTATTTTCTATATTCACCTCCATTGCTAGTTGGACCAATGTTCCTTACTATCATGGATCCTAAATTTACTTATACTACCAGTACAAACTGTCGTCTTAGAACAACTTCTAATACTTTAAGTCTTTAACCACGACTGTACATTCTCCCATGAAAATGTTATTAATGGATTCATCATCTTCTTTTTTTTGGTTAAATCCAAATGAGAAGAACCAGCAACAAAATGTGTGATATTACTTGGTCCGTGTAACCTATTTAACATTGTTGTTAACTTACTGTTTGCTCATTTTTTTATAGTTTTATTTCCTGAAGTTCAACATAATATAGCTTATGCAATATCTTATGTTGTTGTATTCTGTAGATATCTTCATGCTTAAATTGTGAAGGCAGCGGGAAGGTAATTACTGAACATTGCGCAGAATGTTACGGTTCGGGCAGAGTCCCAGTTGAACGCATTATCAAAGTAGATATACCTGGAGGTATTGATGATGGCTCCACCATTCGAATTAGTGGTGGAGGTAATTCTGATAAGCAAAGGCAAGCATTGGTCAGCTGTTATATAATATCTTGGTCATGCATCATTTGTGTAGTTTGTTATATGTTTGATTTGAGTGTAACTTTTTTAAAGCTTTTACGAGATGGCAAGGTGGTGATTGAGTTGCATAACTGAGTAATACCACCTGGATGATATGTTAAACCCATTTCAGTTGTTACTAAAATGGGTCCATGACCACACCTATCTCTTTTAAATAGACACCCACCAGAATTACATGCTAACGATTTAAGATCCACCTATGGTAATAGATGTAACCATTACATGTTATGCATTTCTATCTTATTGTGCAGGGGTGCAAGTGGTGACCTGTATATATTTGTTCGCATTAATGAAAAACAAGGCATCCACAGAGATGGTCTCAATTTATACTCAGAGGTTTCAGTTGATTATACTGATGCGATTTTAGGAACCACAGTGAAGGTTAGCTGTTAATGCGATTTTAGGAACCTCATTCATATTATGCCTTGTCTACCTTTTTTTTTTTCTTCTCAAACATGCAGGAGAGCTATGTATCATTATATTAAGAAGAAATATGCCTTGTATACCAATATCATGTGTTGTCAAAATATATATGAAATTGACGTGTGTTTGATGAACTCAAGTCTAACTTATGTTAATTCCATAGTTCTGGCAATATTCTCATTTAGTTCTAGCAAACCTCCCAGTTCAGCTTAACCTAGCAAGGAAGTTTATGTTTTCAGGTTGAAACAATAGAAGGACTCAAGGATCTCCACATTCCTCCTGGCACTCAGCCTGGAGAGAACTTAAAATTTTGTCAACTGGGAGTTCCAGACATTAAGAAGCCTAATGTCAGAGGAGATCACTACTTCATGATAAAGGTGAAGATCCCGAAGAGTATCAGGTTTGAATTGCTGGCACTTTCTAATAGCTCAGGGAAGGATATTGTATTTACAATCAACAATCTGACGAGATTGATCGATGTTTTCTCCAACTTCAGTTATTTTTGTTTTCTTGATGAAATTGCGTGCAGCTCTCCTGCATCGTTCAAAAAAAAAAACAGCAATTTTGTTGTTTTAACCTCCAGAGGTTACTAAAACCTATAACATTGTTGTTTTTCCATTACATCCTTTAATGGCATATCTATCATATATCATCTAATTAAGTGTAAATATGAACTACAGATAATTGGAAATCTAGTCCAGCAGAAGCATTTCTTCTTGTGTTATGGTGTTAGCATGGGTTTGTATGGTTCTTTCGTAAGGGAGGATCTTGTGTTTTGTTCTCTTCTTAATATAATGATGCGCAGCTCTCGTGCATGTTCGAGGAAAAAAAAAACCATTTTAGCATCCCAAATATGGTCTCGGTTCATATTGTTTTGACTTTTGGTGTATAACTTCTGACAGTTATTTTGACTTCTACAGTGGCCAGGAACGTTTGCTGGTTGAAGAGCTTGCCACACTAAAGAAAGCTCAGAATATCTCAGTTCCCGGTGAAGTTTAATCCTTTTTCTTGAGTTATTGTTGTTAGCATCTGTCTCATGGGTTGACTCCTGAGTCCTGAGCCTGTTTTGTGCCTTTTCTTTGTCTTATTCAGAAATTACAAAAATAGAAAATTTTCGGGAGAGAAACCATCATCCATCTGCAAAGAGAAGATCGTTCTGGGGATCTGTCTGGAATTTGTTCAGGTAGTCATCATTTCTCATTATTTTTTCTTGTCATGAAATGTAAGTAGGCTTATACTGATTACGCCAATATGATTTGCTTTTTATTGATCTGCCAAGCTAGTTGTTTTAGTACCTAGTGCATGACGACAAGGACAGACTTGGTGCTCTTCGAATCTCTGATTCACATGTATATGTGGTTCAGATGCCTAGCTTATCTACATTGCCCTCATTCTATAAAACTCGAATCCACTTTTGATAAGGCTATTTAATAATTCCATTCATACCATTCTAGGGATGATAAAGGTGATCAGAGATTTGCTTCAATCAGTGTGCAACCTATTATCCCAGGATGGAATTCTGGCCGAGGAACTGATACTGCTGTCCCCTTGCTGTTAAAAGGATTCCTCATGACCGCAGCATTCTTATTTGTAATCAGCAGAACCAGTAAACTCAGGTACATTCGGAAGCGTGTTGACCGTCCAACTCAAGCCAAAATACCTGCAGAGCCAGAGTGAATTTCTGTTGTCCTCATTTCTGAACGTTAACGACATCACAGTTTTGGTGATCATCATTTCATAGTTTTGCCGCGCAAAGCTTGTTCTGGGAAAAGAACCCATCCCGGCCGGCTTTGCTTGTAGTGGATGGTGTCCAGACGTACCAGTAACAGGTTAACAACGGTGACATAGAATGATATGGGCTGCTTCTCATTGGCCATTTCTTGATTCATTATTCCAATATGTATAAGACACTTGCAGCAATTTTGAGTTTTGACGAAAACCCAGAGGAAAGACATGAAGAAACATGGCCATGGGCTAATGTACACTGTATGCATCTTGTCTGCACAAAGTTTTGTAATCTTCCGGGCTTGATATTGGTTAACGATTTTGTTGCAAACAACAGTTCTGACGCGAGACTAACTTCATCGATGGGCCAATAATAGCTACTGATACATAATCACAAACACAGCAATATCTCCGTACAGTAAATAGCAATGACAACTATTCATACAGTCTGATTTCAAACTCATCATTTTTCGCTTTGAGATCCAACAGTTCAAATGCATTTTTTGACCTCTGCCATGTCCGATCGGTTTCCAGACTTCCAGTTCCAGACCGAGACAGGCGCCGCAGTACAGAAGGTTCGCGACATCCGTCCGCCCCAAAGCCCCCAACGTCCGCTCTACTGCTCATGCTCTAGCCAGCTGACGGGATCCACACTGCGCCATGTCTTTCCGGCCGCCGCCGCCGCATCCGTCCCACCGGAATCCACGGCGATTCCCCTCCGCCTGCTATCTTCTAGTACTCACCCTCGCTGTCCTCGTCGTCTCCACCGCCGCCAAGTCCTCCCGCCGCCCAATATCCGTACGTCTCCCCGCCTGACCTGGCCCTGCCTTCTCTCCTCCGTCCGCCTCTTCTAGTCTCTATCCAGCTCATCGCGCTGACCGAACTCGTGGTGCAGGACAACGAGATCCGGCAGAAGAAGGAGGCCTGCTACACCGACGTCGAGAAGTACGTATTAGGATGATGAGTTCTCTGTTTGTTTTCTGTTCAGTGGAACGCATCTGACGCGATGCTTCTGAGTTCTGACGGTGGTTTCTCTCGGCCATGCCGCAGCGGGCTGTGGGGCTGGGTGTGCAGGTCCTCGCCGACGGAGAAGGAGAACTGCGTGCTGCGCTGCCTCTCGCCGGAGTGCTACGACCTCATATACGGCGGCGATCCAGTGAGTGGTGGCATCATGATGTGGGGTTTCAGCAGCTGCGATATACTTGATTTACTGATTTTTTTTGCTTGGCTGCGTTGTGCAGCTTGAGGAAGGGGAGTTGGACTATGTTCGAGGCCAGGAGTACAAGTACTGTATGCACAAGTAAGAATTACCAGAACATCTCGAATATGTTCGTTTGGGGTTTGGAATGTTGAATTGGGTCTGCCTTGTGTTGAAGATTGAAAGAATCGTAGATTATAAGTTGGGTTGGAGTCCATGTAAGATCCCAATCATATGATCTTAAACATAAGAATCATAAACTTGTGATACTATTGTTGACTGGAATCATAGAATCAGGCCCTTGATCAAGATTGTAAAGGTGAAAATTTGTAAGACAGAAACATAGATATTAACAAGCATTATTGTGGGTGCATTTGTAAATGAAGGGAAATGATATTGATACTCCCTCCGTCCACAAAAGAATGCAATTCTCGCTTTTCGAGGAGTCAAACAGTCTTATCTTTGACTAAATTTATATAAAAAGGTACAAACATTCATGATACAAAATAAGTACCATTAGATTATTTATAGAATGTGTTTTCATAATAAATTTATTTAGAGACGTAAATACTAGTACTATTTATTATAAACTTGGTCGAACTTGAGCTAGATTGATCGGCACGGATACCACAATTGCATTCTTTTGTGGACAGAGGGAATACTATGCCTTTTATGGTTGACTAGCTCTCTAAACATACAAATAATTAAATAAAACCGCACGACTAGGAAGAGAAATTTAAGTGTTGAGGGATCAGGAATAAGTAGGAATGATTCAGACCCAAGGTAAGGTTTGTACCTTATACAAGTGTACCTTTTATCAGTCTTCATTTACTAATTTTATCGTAACTATCTGTAAATCTTGGTAAGTGCTATGAGCAAATTAAAAAACAAGGTAGATTATACCTCATCTGACTCAACTTTGTTTGACGTATTCTATCTAGCAACTATTTTGAGTTTGACGTATTCTATCTAGCAACTATTTTGGTGTCTAAAGGGGTAAATAGCGTGGAGGTAGGTGAGCATAGTAGTTTCACCCAATTTTATTCCACCAATCAAATGTTGGGTTAATCTTCCCTATTGATTATTGTCTAAATTACACAACCTCCATAAACTGCCGACTGCAGTAGAACTGAAGTTTTAGTCCCTACTGTTCCTCACTCAACTAGAAGTATATAACTAGGACAGTCGGTCTCTGTAGTCTAGAAACTAGGATAATAGTTCTCTATGAGAAGATTCTTTGCTTGATATATTCACATTTGGATTCACATGTTGCAGTTTTTATTATCCATTCTGTTTTTTTCTGTTTCCGAACTCTAGTTTCAGGCATTCTTTTGGAAACTCTAATTTTTTCCTTTAAGATATCAAAGTTGTAATAGTTATAATCATCGTATGGATTTCTTTTTCTGTTTAGCACTAGACTGTCTGGCCTTGAAGTTGGTTACCTGATCATGTCCCCGCACACCCACATTTGTTTTTCTTTTCAGATCATCCCTTGGAGAAAGCTTGGATGGTGTGAAGGGATCCTTCAGCTACTCATGAAGGAATGGGAAGAAACAGGTTCTGTTAGTCTGCTGTAAATTTTATTTTGCAATCTTGAACAGACACGCATATTTTTTAGATAATGGTATTGTAAATTCTAGACTTTGCTTTTTCCCAAAGCATCACCGGTGCACCACCTTATATTAATTTTCATGAGAGAATTTCAGTACCTAATAGCCTTGGTAGTAAATAAACTAAGGCAGATTTGACCAAGTTGGCAAGTGTTCGGTTGGTAACTAAATTTAGACAAGATCCCTTAGGCATGGCAGTGTGGCCCATCATCTTTAAACATGCCCAGACAAACGACATGTATGCCTCACTGCGGTGGCCAACCAGCTGTTTGGTTGGTAATGGTTGCACTGAATCTGCTGAAGGCAGTGGTTCGAGGCATGTTTGATGCATTCACCTTGGGAAGGCAAGGGAGGCATTGTTTATCTTGTCAAGTTGCAATGACAATTGCGACATGCACACTTAAGTACAAAGGCAAATTAAACATTGGATTACATTGTTGACCACACCACTGTTACGTGCATGAAGTATCACGAAGTTACAATTCCTTAAAATAGTAGTAGTATTTTAGCCAACACTTGCGATACCAACAGAGTGATTCTTTTTTTTTTTTTTGGAGGGGGGTCGGGGGAGGGGACCAACTACGGGATTTATAGGGGCCAGGGCGCTGGCCGCTGGAAACCTTATTTCACACTCTTTAACGGATAATAAGCCACTGAAAGGGCGTACGTTTCCATTTCACCTCTGCAAAGGAGAGTGCTCTCCAGAATCTCAGCATCAGTAGCACTAGCATCCATGGTTATACCAACAGGAGAACATTCAATAGAAGTCCCATCAGCTACTTGATCACCTTGCTTTCCCTGCATTCGCTCACACTCCCTTCTTATCGACTCAAGGTTCTCTGCCACTTGCTTCATGTTGGGCCTGTCATCCATTTGCTTTGCAAGGCAGTCAATTGCAACACGGCCAACCTTATGAAGAAGCTCAATATTCTGAGCTGGGAATGCAATCTCTTCATCATACATCTCACGTGCCTTGTCTTCTGTGAAGTTGATCTTGAGGCTGTTATTTCCTGCATATGATGGTTTTTTTCTAGTAATCAGCTCTAGAAGGACAATTCCATAACTGTAGACATTGCTCTTCTCATTCAGAATACCCCTGGCATACACAGGGTCCAAGTACTCAATGTCCGCTATCGCATTCACAGATTCAGCATACATTTTCTCTATGGAAAGTAGCCTTGATGTCCCAAAGTCAGAAACCTTTGGCATGAAGCTCTCATCAAGAAGTATATTACCTGATTTCACATCTCCATGGAAGATTTTTTGAGCGACCGATAAATGCATGTATTCAAGAGCTGCTGCCGACTCAGCAGCATTATCCAACCTTGTTTGCAGTGGAAGTGGAAGTCTTGGGGTACCATGAAGGACGTCGCAGAGGCTTCCTCTAGGTGCAAACTCATAGACCAGCATTGGAATTTCCACCTCTAAACAGCAACCCAAGAGCCTAAGAATATTCTTGTGTTTAATTTCAGCTTGGATCTTGATTTCATTCTTAAACTCCTTCATTCTTATTTCCCAGATTTTTTTAAATTCTGGATAAATGGAGGTATGGGGTACTGGAGTGGAAAGCTTTTTCACTGCAACAATTTGATTGTCATTGGTGGTTCCCTCAGTAGACCTCTCCCAAGCTACCTTTGCCAATAACAGTGCTATAATTTCTTGTGATGTGATCTAATTCCTTCTTCGTGTAGATCTTGATGTTATTGATACTTGCCAGTAAAGGACCTCCATTTCTCTCAAAGAATGCTCGAAGCTTTCTCTTCTCATTCATCATAAAAATAAAAATTGATAGCGCTATAACACATGAGATGTCACATATTACTCCTGTGAAAAGATAATGGCAAATATAGTTCAGAATTTAGACAGCTTATACATCCTGCCTAGCTAGCGTACCTTTCAAACCCACATTTTATTTTAGATGATACTCCCTCCATCCCTATAAGTTGTTCCAGCTTTTTTTTATAGAGTCAAAATATCTTAAGTTTGATCAAAATTATGTCCACGTAAGTCAAAACTCAAGACATTTGAGCCCCACATACTACATATGTCCACGTTAGTCAAAACCACTATAAAAATACTGTGAACTATAAGGTGGTTTTATAAGTTATAAAGAGGGTATGTTGTCGGATCTCTTTTTAAAACTG